TAATTAAAAAAAAAAAAAACCGCCAGAAACATTATTTATACAGGTTTGATTGCTTTCATGTTGTTACTCTGTACCCTATAGTAGTCTCCATGAGAATCTGGTATTTCTTGCTGCTTGGAACTACTTTGCAGTGATTATTTGGTTGCAGTCCAAGTACTTTCGTTTAGTCTGAGCCTGGAGATGTTCTAGACTTGCTTCTCCCACCTCTGGGATTAGGACAGGAAAAATATGAAATTTCCGTATTACAGGATCATAAGGTACCATCACATCATTTGTGGAAATCGGGGTGACTTTACAGCTGGGACTGGGCCATGGATTGTGGTCTTATCTGTCCACATATAGCCTCTCCAGATATCCAGTCTGTTGGAAAGGAACATTGGACTCCTGTGCCACAGGTGTTCCAGAAAAGGGAGGTCAGTTTACCTTGTGGTGGTGGGATCCTGATGGCTTTCTTCTCCCATTTGTAGTAAAAGCTGGTAAAGCTTTTCTTACTCCTGTTTCCCTATGCCAGTATTTCTAAACATGTGTCGCACTTTCTTCACAGGCATGTGGTTTTGACCTTTTTTTTCAATCTTCTGGAAAGGGAATGGAAGCAGAAGTGGGACATTGAGGGCTCTGCTGTCCTCTGCGCTGGGTGTGGAATGCTGCTGCACCTGTCCCTTCTGCTGGCTCAGGGAAGTGTCTTCTTGCCCACATTTCTGTGGGGAAAGGTTTTTAATCCTCTGATGCTTCCATCTTCCTGTTTAGGCCATGTGCCCAGAAACCTGGACTGATCTTTCTGTAATAGTGAACCCCTGGGCCACTGAAGAGTAACATGGCTCCACTGGACACAAAAGAGGGATGGAATCAATAGGCAGGGGCATTTTATAAGCCTTAGGAAAAGAAAATGATATCTTTGGACTTTTCAATACTATTGGAGTGATTTTTTTTCTTTCTAAATGGGAAATAATGTTATAAAAGCATCTTTTTTGTTATTTGTTTGCATCCCTCCCCCACACCCTGGTGTTTTAAAATGAAGAAAAAAATATCACTTTTTGTACAAAAACTCTTAATGATTAAAAAACAAACAAAACACATTGGCCTAGTCATTTGTGTGAAAGTGGGCAGAGACTGGAATAGAGTAAGACAACTGAGACCAATTTTCATCCTTTTACTGAGGAAGAAAAAATAATATTTTTGTTGTATAAGGAATAGCGCCTAAGGCAGGTACTCATACTCCTGATCTCAGCCCCACACACTCTGGTTTTATAAAGCTATAGGACAGAGCAGAGTTGGAACTGAAAAGCAGGGTACAAAATAACACATAAGTTGGAGGGGAACAGTGGGATGCAGAAAGAATGACAACAGCCACCTGTGTCCCGGTCAAACACTTTTTCAGTCCCTGCAGCATAAGAAAGACGCCAACCAAGTCTCTACACTGGCTGGAGATCCTGCCATGGATGCAGGACAAAATCTTCAATCATAAGGGAGTCAGTGACAGCAAAGAGAAGGCTCTGAGCCACAGCTATACTGGGACAAACCAGAGGGAAGAGGGGGAGTACCAGATTTTCCTACTTGTGTCACACAAGCTAGAAAAACCCTACCTCTCCCATTGGGGAGGCAACCTATATTCCACCCATTTCCTTGCCTTACCATACTATGTAATCCTCCCCTTGGAGAATTGAGACCTGGGCTAAATGCTCCACTCCAGGATAAGGCCGAGCAGTCCTAGTTCTCTAGACTGCCTCTCATAAAGATTGGGTTAAGGTAGGTTGAAATGGTGAGAATTGTAAAATAAAACAGAACCCAGAGAAGATGTCAAAGCTGCCGCCATGTAGCACCAGCAACTAATTCTTGCACTTTTCTTCCCTGTCTCAATAATCCCCTACGAAAGGTTACATGATTGGAACAGCTCTTATCTTCCCTGCAAAGTCTCTGCTGGTACCAGGTTATAACCTGGACAGTGGGGAGTGTCTGCCTTAGGCTGGTTTGTGCAAGAGGGCCACCTTAGGTCTCCTTGAGGACATTTATCTTGGCGCAGATCTTGAGGGCAGGGCCCAGCTTGATGTTCATGGCACTCATTAGATGTTCTTCTTTAAGCAATAAAAGGGCCTGTCCATCAATCTCCTGGGAACGAAATTCCTCGGCAATCTCTTGGCAGCCTAGAAGAAATGGTGAGAACATGTACGTAGCACCAGATGACAGGCGGAGGGAAACGAAGTGAAATAGGTCTAGCAATGATTAGTTCCAAAGTACTTGTCCTAAATTCAGTAATAGAAGTCGGATGGCAAGCTTTAAAAGCAAAATGAAATCAGAAAGTAACTGGCTATTTTAAAAAATGGCCAGATGCAGAGGCTCACGTCTGTAATCCCAGCATTTTGGGAGACCAGGATGGGCAGATTACTTGAGAGCCCAGGAGTTCAAGACCATCCTGGACAACATGGCAAAACCTTGACTCTACAAAACATACAAAAATTAGCTGGGCATGGTGATGCATGCCTACAGTTCCAGCTATTTGGGAAGCTGAGGCAGGAGGATCATTTTAAGCCCAGGATGCAGAAGTTGCAATGTGCCAAAATTCATGCCACAGCACTCCAGCCTGGGCGACAGAGTGAGACTGTCTCAAAACAACAAAAACCAAGGTCCGAGATCAAGAAAGGAAAAGCAACTAAACTGTTTAAACATAGAAATAACTTCAAATAGCTTGGAGATAGGGGAAAGGGAGAGGACAAAAATAAAAACACATTTTCTTTTGTACTGGCAAAAAGATTCTTTGTGATATTTTTGTTTAAGGGCCCAGAATTCAGACAAATATCAAGAAGGGAAGGGTGATTTTCTTTTCCAGAGAAAACTCTTTGTCAAGAATAGCATATAGGCTGAGTGCAGTGGCTCATACCTATAATCCCAGCAGTTTGGGAGGCCAAGGCAAGAGGTCTCTTGAGCCCAGGACTTCAAGACCAGCGTGGGCAACACAAGAAGACCCTGTCTCTGTTTTTAAAAAAAAAAGAATAGCAAACAAGCCCTCTTTGAAGAGTGGGGCAACAATGGTCACTTAGTTTCTAACACCCTGCTCCACTGAAAAGTTTTCTCCATGGGAGGTATTGTAGTTAATTATACATAAAAAATATTTTATCCAAAAATTTAGTGAGAAATGCAGCTACATCATAAGATACAGGAATCAAACACTGTAAAATTGCTGACACTATAGAAGATAATGTCAACCCAGAAAAAAATTAGGAAGTCAACTTGAATAAATTATCAGGAGTAGAGCCTCTATATTAGCATTCAAACTCCTACTGCTTAAAAGTCAATTACTGTCCCTCTTATCAAGGCTCCTGTGGGATGACATAGAAAACAACCTGGGTTCTGTTGAAGAGAGGGTCAGTACCTTGGAGAGAAGCAATAAACTCATACACCTCTTCTACACTCCAACGGCTGGGATTACTAGACAGGAACACAGGGTTGATGCCATGTAATTCCGGTGTAGGTGGAGCTGTATTGGGGTTCCCCAGGTCACGTTCTCCATGCCCGGCTCTTACTGATAAAGGCCCAGGAGATGTTGGAGAGAGTGCTTCATCATAACTGGAATTATCTGAACCCCGGCTAGAGTCCTCTTGACCCTGTAGGGAAAACAGCAGACCAGTGAGGTCAGGAACAACAGTGTCATAAGTTGGTTTCTCTCTCTTCGCTAACCACCCTGGGTTGGGCGTAGAGGAAAAACTATGTGAAATAAGCCGCACTTTATTTGCAAATGCCCGAAATCTACTCTCAAGTGTCGCTCAAATAGAAATAACTTCTTTGATTCTCCCCAGGACCTACGGTGGATCTAGATTTTCTCTACTCAAGTACAGTATGAGGATTAATGGATACATGAACCAGTAGTTAGGTAAGAGGAGACAAAGGGGGTCAGAATCTCTTGGAATTTGGAGTAATGCAACCAATGTGAAACCAGAGTTCTCATCTCACACGCTCTTACCTGGGCAAACATATTGCCCTGTAGGGAAAGAAAAAAGACCCAGTTTAAAGGCATCTGGCTCTGCAACAAGCAGCTCACCCGGTGGCACTTGCCCTGAATCTTGGCACGGGCAATGTCAGAGGAGCTACGGCGGGGCCCACGCCTGCGAACTCGAGCATAGTTGGCTTCTTGAAACTCTTTCATTTTTTTCCTCTTCAGCCGGAACTGATGGCTACAGCTCACATTGTACCTACAGGACAGGGCATATATAGGATGTCAATGGTGCTACAGAAGACTACCCTGCTCTAAATGTGAGTTGCTGATTTGGGGAAGGGAATAAAAGCAAGGAGGGAGACATGAAATATCAGCTATGAGGTGATCCTGGGGAAGGGATGTAACATTAGATGGAGAGAACAGTGCTGAGGGCAAGGAGGGTGCCCAAAGTACCTCTTAGCGCAAGTCATGGAGCAGAACCTCTTAGAGCCACGAAATTGCTCTGCGGGGGCGTACTTCCCACAGTACTCGCACTTCAGGAGATTCGCCTTCTTATCTAACTCTAAAAAACAAGGCATGCTGGACAGTCAGCATGGGTTTCTGCTGCCCTCAGGAAATCATTAGGTTCAGAGCTGGATTCTAAGATTATTCTCAGGGTTTATTCCAAAAAACCTACACAACCTAGGTTGAGAATCCCTAAAACATAAAGTTCAAAATCTAAAACCATGAAGACTTGTCCCTTGGGAACTTTATGAAGTCTTCCTAACCTTAAGACAAACTGTTTACATTTTAGATGTCTTACTAATTTTATCCTAATTCATAGTCTGAGATTTCAGATAGGATTCCATTTCTGAATAGGAGAGAGGAACTAATTATTAATGCCTAGAAAGATACAAGATCTTTCTACCACAAAGATTTCCAAAAGCAGGGAGAAAACATAAATAAGAGTCCTTAAGATAGATTATAAAATCCACAATAAGGAGAACTGGAGCTTAAGGATATAAATGTTCTATTTTAGATCATCCTTTGAAAACAAAAAATTTTTTTTGAGACAGGGTCTCACTCAGGGTCACCCAGGCTGAAGTGCTGTGGCACTATCTTGGCTCACTCCACCTCCCGGGCTCAAGTGATCCTCCCACCTTGGTGTCCAAAGTAGCTGGGACTACAGGCATGCACAATACCCAGCTAATTTTTATATTTTTTTGTAGAGACGAGGTTTTGCTATGTTGCTCAGGTTGGTCTCAAACTCCTGAGCTCAAGCAATCCTCCCAAAGTGCTGGGATTATAGGTGAAAGTCATCACATGCAGTCAAAAAATACATCTTTAAAGAATAATTCTAAAGGTTACTTTAGCTGGATAAAATTCCCCTTATCTTATATAACTCCTTTTCTGTCATTCTACATACTCTGATATATAATATGGTTTCTATGTGTAGATGGACTTCACTTTATTCCTTTTTTTTTTTTGAGACAGAGTCTTGCTCTATCGCCCAGGCTGGAGTGCAGTGGCACGATCTCAGCTCACTGCAACCTCTGCCCCCCAGGTTCAAGTGATTCTCCTGCCTCAGCCTCCCAAGTAGCTGAGACTACAGGCGCATGCTACCACACCAGGCTTATTTTTGTGTTTCAGTAGAAATGGGGTTTTACCATGTTGGCCAGGCTGGTCTTGAACTCCTGACCTCAGGTGATCCACCCACCTCAGCCTCCCAAAGTGATGGGATTACAGGCATGAGCCACCAGGCCCGGCCTTATTTCTACTTTAAATAAATAGGTAACTACTATTTTATACTGAGTCCTCAAACACATCTCCACGAGCCTCCTTCCCCAAATGGGTCTCTAAATAAATACTCACCGGCAGATGGGCTGTCCACTCCCAAAGAGCCACCTGACTGATTCTCAGTCAGCCCTGTCGGAAGGCCAGTCTGTAGTGGCTTTTCAGACTCCTTTAGTAACTGAGAACAACCCACCTGTCCCAGAAAATGTTAAGAGTTAAGTTAGCCTGATTCCTTTCTGCCTCTCTATAGCTTTCCTCAACATTTCCCAATCAATATTATGTCTTTACTTGGATCTCTGAGTTAATGACCAAGTCTGGTTCAGAGAGAATCACTTTCAATATGATAATCAAGGGTAACAACTGGTCTCTACAAAATGTTTGGAAATGGAAAAAAAAAAGTCACTGGCTTTTTTTTTCCAGATAAGCCATTGGAGAACAGGATTCCACACTGGCTACCTATTTTATCCTCTTCCTTCCTGTGGTGCTGCGAATGCACTAGGAGTCAAGACACCTGGTTCTGCAAATCCTAGGAAAGCTCCTTAACTTCTCTATTATAATTTTATTCATTATAAAACAAACTAGTTTATCTAACTAAACATTATAGTTTTAAAGGTTACTTTCTTCCTTTTTTTCTATTCTTCCTTTTCCTTTCCTTCTTTAACTAAATAGCATAATTGAATCATTCTCTAATTAAATAGTTCTGTGCCATTTTTTTTTTTTTTTGAGGTGGAGTTTTGCTCTGTCGCTCAGGCTGGAGTGCAGTGGCATGATGTCAGTT